GAAAAGCCGAAGTGATGCAGTGTTAGACATTGAGCACATCAATGCAACATGGGAGCAGATGGAGCAGGGTGAATCTGGACTCGAACCAAAGACCACGTACAGGATCCTGACACAAATTGCGAGGGACGAAACTCTGCATTGGCCGATATACTCACAGTGTAAATCCGCATAACATCAGGCGTAGCGTATTTTAGGCAAAGTGGTTTTACGTGTATACCATCATAAACGGAAAAGCATATTTAAGTCAATTCTTATCAATAATAAATCGACAAAAGTATCGTTTGAGGCTATCGCATGTAATCATGATCAGTAACACACAATACTGTAGACAACAATACGAAATCAGGGACATTTTTTCAGAGCATTGTCCGTCCACCCTTATATCAGCCAATCATGAAACCGTAGGCCGCCAGTAGGCATGGCCTATTTTTTCGGTTTATGGTAGCAATAACGCAAACGGAATAGCATTGCTAGTCAATTTGATGCCATAGAATAAGCTGCACTGTATTTGTTTCTAAACGAACATCTGAAAGGATATATGATTGATAATACATTCAATCATGTTATTGTATATTCTTTTTTTGATGTCGAGGGTATCTACCACATTTTAGAAATAGTATGCTCGGTGCGGACCGCGTGCTGAGCTTCCATAGCAGGTTGGCATAACCTGCAGCTTCTTGGAAGACCATAACAGTCACATTTGATGAAGAATCATCGATATTTTGCATTACGTGGATGAGAAAGAAACGGCACACGTGTCGGTGTTATTAATGAACTGTCACGGCAACAACAGATTAACAACGTTCATATCCCCATAAATTTAGTAGGATGACAAAAGTAAACGTCAGAAACACAATACATTTTGGAGAATTAAAACACAAATGAGATTTAGAAAAGTACCAGTAAGATTGGATATTCATTATGGAAAGACTGTCAATTCTTTTTTAACATAATGAATTCGAGATACACTAGGAAATGTTTTTAGCCATTTGTAATAGCTTCACAATCCAAACAGTGTCATCAGTATGTCCCTTCACCTAAAGTACTCATGGAAATGAAAAAAAACTGTTTTGCTGGATTTAATAATCGACACAAAGCATTACGTAGATGTAAATACGAAATAACAAGACAACTGGAAAAGTACTAGTCTGGATTTGCTAGTTTTATCTCAGTGTTCAATACAAAATGTACTTTACAGGAGGTAATTTGTAGGCACTTTCAACATTCAATAATAAAACTAAGTCCAAATTGACATGGCAGAAACAGGCTATAGGCATTATACAAATGAGCCTGGAAAAAAGTTATCAAAACAACAATAAAAATAACAGCTATGTTTATGTACACAATAATAATGACATGTAAGTTGTTGTTTGAGAAGGGAATATGTTACTTTTACGTTCTGATATTTTGACGATAATTCACTCTCCCACAATGCCACTCACAAATCACTAACCACTGACAAATCACATGCACGTGGGTTTCAAGCACCTGTTTTCACCTGTCGTCAAGGTGTCAGAGGTCATGGACATTCACCTTGATCTACTAACACCTGGTTATGCTCAGTTTCACAATAGTCTGTTTTGTTCATATTTTTACACACTTTCACGTGTAAAAAGACATAAAAAACTTTGATACGCTGTATTTGTGCCAAGGCCCAATTAGTACTAATTGAGTTGTTTGAATATTCATATATTTTGTATATTAACTGCATTTATTTAAAGTCTGAGATCGAAAAAAGTTTTTTTTCCATTTCTGTGAGTACTTTAGTGAGTGTCGCAAGCGCCGAGATCGGATGGCCAGGTTCTGTGCTTTGGCTAATTGCGTGTTATCGCATATAAATGGCGTGGTTCGATGCCCAAGCTTTTCATCAAAGACTTTCTGCTTAGGAATCGATGATTACAGTCCGTCTTAGTATAGCTGGGATAATGTTTAGTATGGCGTTAAACAATATTCACTCACTCTGTCAACTTGTCATCTCTTTCTATCCAAGTCTGTGCCAGGCCCTACAATAATTTCATGGTAAAAACACCTCAGAAACGCGATAAATATGAAATACATAATTCATGTATAAATCATAAAATAATAAGAGGACATCGAACATATGGTTCCACACGTTCTTTCATTGACGCTGATCAGTATTAACACGTCTGAGTTGACACATGCTGTAAAAACCGAAATCTGTGTTCTTCAACTTCAAACGTTACCGTACGTCTTCAAAACACAAACGCCATAACCGATTGACAGCTACGGCGAGGTCGCGTGTAGTATTTTGTCCAATTCGCACCAAAACACTTTCCCAAGTGAAGAGCTATCCGAAATTTATATGCATCGAAGAAGATTCGTTTCGGGGCAGTTTCAAGCACCGCAGTACGACCTGCTGTCTTCTTACACTTCACCAGTAAAACCTGTGAATAGTTCTGATTACTTGGAGCCGCAAAGCCAAAACTCATCAAACCTTCCCGTCACCACCAATTAGACAATGCCTAATCCGCGTCAAGGAATCGCCGTTGCCTGAAAGAACTGGTATGATGAACTGGCAATGCGAAATTAAATTTGCAACCTCTGACCCTCTTGGTGGATCGGAGCCGTTAATGACCTAGGCCTTTGGTCGATAACGCCAAATAGAGCAATAGGTCTTTGAAAGGTTTCAGCTTGGGAAAGAATGGCAGTGTTCGGCCTTCGCTGCAATATTGGACAGGTCTGGCATTATGCATATTGTGATTGGAACGCCGGATGAGCGTTATTCCCAGATACTAAATTGAATCTATACAAACTATATTGATATACGCTGGCGTTGAAATGAGCCACCTTAACGATAATTACGTCAAAATCCTTTATTGCGTTTCTTTGCTAATTTGACTGTATACAATTAAAGATAATTGTATAGCCTCCTCAATGTTAGTGAGTTACATGTAACTTTAGACGCAAACCATGCCTGTCATAAAAGGCGACTATGCTTGTCGAAAGAGGCGACTACAGGGATCGAGTGGTCAGGCTCGCTGACTTGGTTGATTCATGTCATCGTATCCCAATTGCGTGGATCGATGCTCATGATATCAATCACTAGATTGTCTGGTCCAGACCAGATTATTTACAGACCGCCGTCATATAGCTGGAATGCTGCTGAGTGTGGCGCTAAAGAAGAACAAAACAAACAAAATCATACGCTTTGTATTCATTTTCTCTGTTTTTCAATGAGTAATATGTGGAATATCCTACTCAAAAGACTGAAATACGGAGTATCTCTCCCTCGTGGCCACAGTCTCGGGATTAACACCACTCAATCACGACGGGACAGATGATCCATAATCGTCGAAGCTCGTTTGTTATTCTTCTGTATTGTACTATACATTTACAAAGTGCCTCTTCGTGCCACATAACTTTTGCAGAATATGAACAGAAATGGCGAAATGTTTCCCAAGCCAATAAAAGATGTGTGCGTAAGTGTAAATGTACATGCATGTCGTTACAACAGTACAAAGATGTTTATACTTAACTATTGCCCTACATTGTTAGGCCTGAAACCTGCGTAAAAACTATTTCAATTTTACGTTAGGGACAGGCAAACCAGTGATTGATATTATGTGCAACGTCCCATGCCGTCGGGTTATGATGTCAAGCAATCAACCAGGTTACAGTGGTACCCACTTCCTCACTCACTAATTATAACCGTCCACATCACTGTCCACGGTAACTGCCTTAAAACATACAGTATCTCTGAAAGAAGAAACCATTTTTTCGATTTTCACAACCCATTTCTTGCAGGGCATCTACATGTAGCATATCCAGTAAATTTTCACACCAATTCCTCCACTGACACCCAAAGAGGATCAGCCCTATGGTATGTTGTTGAAAGAACCGTTTGGGTTATCTCTACGTTCTTCTCCAGTGCATTTAATACGTTTATGTATTAGTTTAAGTGTGTGTGAGTGAGTTTGGTTTAACGCCGCGTTTAACAGTATTCCAGTTACATCACGGCGTGTCAGCTTAATGTGGGAGGAAAGCCCGAAATGATGCAGGTCTCAGACGTTTACCACTTTGGTGAAACCCACGAGCACGGGTATGGTGCTGACAAACCTAGAAACATAATCGGGGCGAACCGGGATTCGAACCCACAATCATAGGTTTCTGGCGTGCCTAAGGGACGCAATTTTCACAGCGAATCGCGGCGCCTTAGACGACTGTGCCACCCGTGCCCCAAGTGGAAATGTGACGAAACCTGCTGACAACATACTAACGTTCCAGCTGTTTTGAACTTTGACATGTGCTATGCTACCCACTGGCTGCATTACACTTACGGCTTTGTCCAATATAAATACCACGCTTCACTTAATTCCCATTTCAAGACGGATTACAGTGCACTGGCTGAAACCCTCAGAGAAATGGACTGAGAGCTTAAAGATATGAGTCAAGTCTTTGTCAGACGCACGGCTGAAATATTAGTAACAAAGTAGGATCATCATATTCACCTTAGGGAAGGATTTCTCTGCATTGTAAAAAAAATCTGGAGGAATACGTACTAAATATAGCCAATATATGAGTTTTTGAAGGTAATCGATAGCTGTTTCAAATGAAGACTCATATATTGAATATATATAGGCAACTAATTATGTTAAATTTTTGCCCATATTTAAAATATTTGAGGAATGCTGGAGAATATTTTTTAATAATAATGTATATATCAGTTTTGAAGGAACACGATAGGTATTTTAATTGACGAATCATTTTCCGCATTAGGCAAGGATTCATCAATAGCTCCGCTGAATTGTAATAAAATCACACTACCATTGACAAAATATATTCAAGATGAAGCCAAAAATGATATGATAAATAGGGCAGAATTCTTAACATCGCACGCTATTTAATGACTATTGACTTCATTTTCTCAAAGTATAATGCCACACGCTGACTGTGTTAAGAAACATACCTTTACATTGCCAGTGGCATTTCAGTAATTGTGTTAACTATCAGTGGTTGACACCGACCACCTAAGCAAACACACGCCACTAAACGAGCAGTCTAACGCGCCTAATCACCATTTACACCGGGCAATCAAGAATCCAGTCTTCAGATTTCAGAAAAGGAAAACAGTTTGGCTTGAGACGGTGAAAGGTTCCTGATCAATGACACAGTAAGTAGAAGGACGGCCGTATGGAAGGATAACTTCAGAAAGAAACCTATATTTCCTCCGTCTCGTCCCCAACACTTCGCAATCTACGACTGTAACACGCGCATTGATTGTGGCGCGGTGTTACCGATTCTCCAGTCTATAAGCCTGCACTTCACTCCATCGGTATTACACGCTGAACATTCCCACTCTTGCTCCTAGCATAGACGTCGCCGCATCGGTCCTCTTCTCTGCGTCGACTTTTGCACAATATCGTGTTCACTTGTTTGGGCTTGCATTTGGGTCCGCGCATAAAAGATGTGAACCAATAGCAGAATGTTCTTTTGGAAAAGGGGCTGATCAGTTGGAGGGTGAAGGACACAGTTAATCTGTTAGCCACGTGGGTGCGGGTCTTCATCGGGGATACGGGCAACAGTGAGAGATACTATTGCATCGATAGTCTCAAGTTGACATGTGCTTGTGCGTTTAGATCAGGATGCACGCGTACCGGATACTTGTGTGGAAAGTTGTTTTTGTACTTGGATATATTTCAAAGACTGCTGGTTTTAAGGGACAAATCCCTATAGGTAGGTACCATTTTTCTATTCATTTAAAAGCCCTGAAGTCACGTTTCATTAAAATAATCACTGCAAGAGAATATCTGAGCTGAATTCTCTCGTATACTTTTCACGGTTAAAAGTTAACGTGAATCTTTTTTCCTTAATGGTATATTTGACAGTTTTAAACAGGCGTGTATAATTAGCCTGAAAGTCTTCTGTCGTCGTTCGATTTTTGTGTGCTTCGATTCCCAATAGTGGGCACAGTCATTTTGTTGCTGGAGTCTAACGAGCCTCTTGAAGAGTAATTCAGTTCCGCTCATACCTCCTCCATAGGTCCCAAGGAACAGTTGCTTTCATTACAGTCTTAGTTTCTTTGAAAGCCCATTGAAACTGATACTCTTGAGGCAAAGGAAGGATTCTAATCGTAGTTATACAACTTTCACTTCGAAGATTAACCGTTTATAAGCACTCGTCTGTGTCTCTTTCAGGCGCCATATTTGATGAATATACTGACGTGTTCGCAAGGACTGGTTACCAGTACGCTATATCTAGCCACAGTCAAAGAGTGAAGGAGGGGATTAAATTTTCTACTGTTTATGACGAGGTCGACATACACGACAACTTTAAAGTGGCTTCAAGAAGTACGTAGTTGACTTTTATCATGTAACGCCGTTCATCCGGACTAACTGTTCGAAACATAATCAACCGAAATACAATGTCCCTTCGTACGTATATCCGTATACACTACCACCAGCAATCAGCAGTAAGGGGGGAGGGGTCTGTATTAACAATGTCCGGATTAACGGGGTTCATTTTATGTTATTAGACATTTTAATATATCAAATATTTCTGTTCCAGTGACTCTAGGATCACACTGGCTGCATTATTATGCAAAACCACTTCTTCGTATATTAACCCTCTTTCTTTATCACTCATGTTCATAGGATGTATTACCTTAATATTGGATGTGTTAGCCAAGTGGTATAAACGGTGGCTCATCACGCCGATGGCCTGGGTTTGATTATCAACTAGGGTACAACGTGTGAAGCCTATTCTTGGTATTCTACGCCGCGAGATGGCTTGAATTATACAAAGGCGATGGTAAACCATACTCACTCACTCACTCATTAGTCACTCACTCATTATATGCGTGTTGTGTTTAATTTGTTGTCATGACGACATTACACAGTGTTTGCCCTTGTCTGTAGCCACTGTGAAGCTTATCTGTCTATGATTAAGGACAGCGTGCAACAGAACGTTGCTTGAACGGTTTTCTGTTCAATTGCTATTTGACTAATCACATAGAAAAGGTCACGTTTGAACATCACTCTACTTCATTCATTCTTTATGCATGAATCTGCAGCTACATATTCCCAAAGTCTAGATACTTTAATCACCATATCCACCTCTCGTACATAGGCAACGTCACGTGATTGCCATATCTATATCGATCCCTGCTGGAGCAATGAAAAGAGAGTTTTGAAAACGCCATAGAGAAAAAGTCACTTTAGTTTATTGCTCTTGAAATGTATGGGGATCTACGTAATGAAGTAACAGTATATTAAGCATTAGGCCTGATTCTACGACCTACCAGTACAAAGCACTCCATATGAGCATTTGATCATAGATGAGTCTCAAGGCACTGATGCTGCTTGGGACTCTTTTATGCTGTCACTTAAGAGTTTCATTATTCAATAGGCTTTGAGGTCACTTGAGTATTTTCTATGCAGCCGACTACTGCCTGTTTTCAATTATAACTGATCATGCTAGGATACGATGACGTGGATAATGGAAGCAAACTCCCTCAGTTGTGTATCCATCATTACATCATGATCACATGAGGTTTGAGAATGAATAACATTTTCTCTATATGTTTTATTATATGATGGATAGTGTTATCGATGTCCAGAACCAGTCTGATAAACTCTGGATCACAATCCGATGAATATGCAAGACTGAGGTCACCCATCAGGAACTACTTTAACTAATCTCTGTACATCGATGTGGTGCCTACTTGCTAAATAAATTGTCCCTTGTTCCGCATAACTGTAGATAGTGGTTTCCGGATGTGTATGTGATTCTGAAAACAAACATGGCTGCTAAAATCTTGGTATTATATCCCTACGCGGTTCCTAATGTTAATTTGTGAATGAAATTATGTCTTAAACTTCGATTATTTAATGAATGACTTTCTTTGATAAATATATGATTACCCTTACGCCAAGGCATCGCACAAAAGACATTTGTATATTCTTAAAATATGATACTTATAATTACGAGACGAAAACACACTCGGCTAATAATCCATATGTACCAAAGCTCAAGCAATGGATCATATGATCACCAAGACGGATAATCTATATGTCACAGTTTCAAGTACAATGAAACCTCGATAATCCGGACAATATCATACCGAGTGAAATCGTGCGGATTAACGGATGTCTTGATTAACGAAACATGAGAATACAACATTTGTTCATGAAGAACACATTATATATAGACGTTCCAAATTGTAATGGCAGGTATGTTTTGTTGTATTAACGGAGTCTGCAAAAACGGGAGTTCACTGAAGGTTCATCTGCACCAAGATGTACATGTACTGTTATTGTGTAATACATGATACTAACCGTTTAAGTAACACCTACATATTCCTTTGATGATTCGCGCAGTCTCTCTAATAGCATCTGACATGTTACTAACATGGTCAATTACTGCATATTCTCCCTAGTGCAGCGAATACGCTATAAACTCAACGAATGCCCTATGACACATCAGTGTATGTGAGACCTTCACTTCCGAACACGATACACGGCTCTGCCAGACATTCGAAAACACATATACACAGATTATGGAGTTGTTTTTCTTCTTTTTTTTCACACAAGTTCTAAACTGGAACATGTGGCTTCTTGGAAATGCCAAATGATTGGGAACGTAACTAGATGAAACTTGGTATGTTACTCGACGGTCGATTCCTTAATGTCTTCTAATACCTCAAGGGATTGCCCGGATATCTTCTCGTTTCCGGGAGAAGTTATTTACAAGGAAATGTTTTGTGTCCCCAGCGACGTTGACATTACGAACTTTAATACTGAAGTTTTCAAGTGTTACACTGGCATCTTCGATAACTCAAGTATAATTGGAATATGTGAAAGTATTATATAGCTCAATGTAGAACCTTGATGACTGTTTTTGTGCTCTCTGATGCTTACTTTGATGCACCGCAAACATCATCGTCAGGTTCCATTTCACCTTTTCCGTCATAACAGTTCGGTAGTTTAAACCAGAGTACATATATATTTCCAAATAAAGCGAAACTAAGAATATTTTTGGTATGCCACATGCATTTTAATGTTACAACTGTGTTAAATATGATAATATATAACACTTATTTTTCATTTGGACAACTTTTGACAATTAAATAGCCTGACCTCTAGAATATATATGTTTTATTCATGAGTTAGTTAATGAATTGTGACACTGTAGTCAGCAAGTCAAGGTCAGATACACCAATGTTTTTTTAGCGTGAACCCCAGTCCACGCCGTCGGGTGCATTGACACCCCTTCAACCATGTAACACACTATAACCATCCAGGCCTGGTATGTCAACATACACAATGCACACGTGATACTGATTTTAACACGGTCCTGTTTGTGGGTTTTCATACTGGGGCTGGGTGAGAGAAACCAACTCCCTTGTGGCGTTCAGCAACTAGCCCTACTAAACCATCCTTCGTTATCCAGTGTTGTGGGTCGTCAATACATTATAAAGATAACTACCCCTGAGCCATCTCCATCACTTCTTGTGATAATGAAGAAAAACTCTCTCTCATGACCTTGAAATCAACAACCAACCGAGTAATGCCTCCGGATCACCTGGATGCGTGTTTGGCATATATCTACATTTAAAGTCGGGGCGTCGTACGAACGAAACCTCGAACCATTCAGTTGAAGCTGTTTGAAATTACTTCTTTGTAAAATTGTTTTAATGAGTATTCCCACGAACATGTTACAATATCATGTTGTTGTATGACACTCATTGATCTAAACAACTTAGCTTAGCATCAATGTTGAAGTATTTTAATATCAACTATTGTTGATATGTACATGCAACAATAGAATTCTATTGTTGAATGGGGGCTGTGGGGTAACCTAGTGGTTAAAGCGTTCGCTCGTCCAGACAAAGGCCCGGGTTCGATTCCTCACATGGGTACCATTTGTGAAGCCCATTTCTGGTGTCCCCCGCCGTGATACTCCTGGAATGTCGCTAAAAGCGGCGTAAAACCATACACGCTCGCTCAATTGTTGATTGAGTAAACGTTGCTACTGTCAGTAATACTAATTATTACTCTCTACTGAAAGCTAGTTAATGGATGTGATCAGGAGAGGACTAGGAACATCGCTTCACTGTTTAGATGGAGTTCATATAGATTAATAATTGAATTAAGGAGGCACAATAATATAATAAGAGTCTATGTGCTCAATGTTGTTTTGATTCAGTGGAGGATGAATATTACCTGTTATTCGTATGTTCTAAATATAAAGAATTTCCTAACAATATACCTAAAACGGTACTATCTTATTTATCCAAATGTAGATAAATATTTTCCATGATGAAACGTAACGTATCAACGTATATTTATCATACCATGTCAACGAGAAGGTAATCTGTGTGTAGACTCTCCGCATCTACATTTGTAATGCATGCGCTATGTGCTTGTGGCCTTTCAGTGTTTGACAATATAAACTTCATGAAAGTGAAGACAGCAGACAGTGGTTCTAATGCTAAAAGGCGTTCCTATTTGTATCAGAGACACCGAGACGGGTCGAGTCCTGGTGATATTGCCGATCATTTCAATCGTGAAAAATCAGTGTAATTTGACAGGACCTCTACTTTAGCGTCGTGTCAGTCGAACCAGACAGAAAACAAATCTGGATGGCGAATAGGTTCAGGGCATTTATGACAGATTGGAGATTTGATACATTGCAAAATCGAGGACTATAACCAGCCCACAGCATATATATTAGAATCATATTATTATTTTTTGTCTTTTGATTTTACTGCTGCATTATTATGTGTATGTGCCTGTGTGTATAAAAAAGTAAAAGCTTACGAGTAATATCTTTGTTTACCTTTACTAAACGTCAAACAAATGTAATCGAAAATTAAAATATGCGTTTCTGTTTTGAAGCTTGAATGTTTTTAGTACATCTTGCACCAAATATGTTGTACCCTTTTACTTTAAGAAACATTGATTTCTCCGCAACCTAATTGAAAACTCTCGAGAAACGGATGTCTGATCAGAACTCTCTTTCTGGGAAACATCACAGTAATTTTCACCTAAAAACGATTGATATCATATGACGAAATACTTTGAAACTTAATCACTGTAGTGTATTTTAAGATTCTTCAAACAATATTGAAAACCCTTTCAAAATACATGAACATTTCAAAAACTATAAACACACATTGATGCATAAGGGTTTTGTTTACTAATGTTAATATGCGTCTGTTGCCGCTACAATGCATATGCTTTTCATTTATTGTTTTCGCCTTTATATTCCAGATATGTTCTGCTCTTTAAAGACATGTATATGTCAGGTTCTCAAGTTTTAATATTCTCAAGAGACATGTTAACGCATT